GGTGGGCTCGGCCAGAGAGAGCCGTTGCTCGACGCCTCCTGACGGCAGAAGGGAGACCACCTGCTCGTGCAAAGTGAAGGCTTTTCCCTCTTGCACACTTGACACACCTTGTCTTTTTACCTTAAAAAAAAGAGCACATGGGATCCCTGCCGTTTGCAAACCTGTGGGTAAAAACTCTGTAACGAAACTCATTTACGTGTACTCGGCCTCACCACGGAACGGGCTGCCGGAAGTCATGCAGAGGGGAGTGCACATGCGCAGGCCACAGCCCCGCTCGCTCGTGCGCACCTGCGAGGGGGCTGGGCTGGCCGAGGGGGTGGACAGTCCACACGAGCCCTCAGCCGGGAAGCAAACTGCAAGAGAGCTCGAAGCCAACCCCATCAAGGACTTGGTCTCCTTAAACTTCAAATCCATCCTTTCGCTGTAAAAAAAAAAAAAAATTTTAATCATACTAGTGTTCTCTAGATGTTCATTGTTTAACGATTAATACTTTTTATCTAGGGCTTAAAAACCTCTCTGGTCTTAAAAATGTTTTTAGCCGGTGCGTAAACTTAGAAACCAATGGACCCTGAGTGAAGCAGAGACTAACAGTGATGAATATCCATCGAGCACCGCACTGGATGGGGCCCGGGTGTGCGCGCTAGCCGACCGTGCAGGGCCGCAGGGAAGACATCGGGGTTGGGCTGGGGCGGCCTACAGGGGGCCATGGTGCTGGGTCCCGGGCTGCGCAGCCACATCCGGGGAGCACACCTTGCGCTGGGCCGCAGAGCCCGATCCTGTGAGCGTTCTGCTGTTGGAATAGTCCTGACGCTTCTCAGGCGGGAAACACCAGAAACCGCCCCTGTATCTCGCTCTTGCCCTGTCTTCTGCATGGGAATCTTTTTCTATGTTCTTTTTCTTTGACTGTTTACATGCTTTTCCACTTGAGCACCACACGCAGTAGGTCTGTCCGCCTCGAATTTCAGATGTTGTCAGCAAGATGGAATTTTTAAAGAGAGGGTTCCATTTTAAATGCACTAGAGGAAGCTTCCTAGATTTGGGGGGATTTAAATAAATCCCTTCATAAAGTAAGGAAGGACTCACACACCCACCCCCCCTCCCGGCCCACATGGATCTGCTTTATCAATGCGGGTTCTGGTTGGTGCTCCATGAGGCCCCACACCCTCAGAGGCCACTGAGCCTCCTCACACCACCCTCCCCGTGTGTCCCCAGCGCTCACGACTGACCACGGACTGAGTTCTGGAAACTTCCTTCTCAGCACAGACCGCAAATAGCTTATTACCATAATCCTGATGAGCAAGGGGATATTAGCCACCATGTCATACACCTGACCTGACCTCATCAATCCGTCTCTCCCCGAACTTAGTTCTGGATGTTTTTAAGCATCGGTTTGACCTCCTCAAGTGTCCGACTGGCTCCAGGCAAAGTGGGATTCTGAGCTAGCTCCCCTGGGGTGGTTTAAACTCCTTGAGTAGGGACGACCCGATCAGGCTTCCCCCGTCCCTCCCTTTCCCTCACAGACCGTGGTCCAGAGGGCGTCAGCAGGTAACAAAACAAGAGAGGTTCCTCGTAGCATTTTATCCAAGGATCCTGCAGGCTCGGGACAACAGCCGGCAACCATCGTCCACGCGGACAGCCACCCAGGAGGGAGGGCTGCACATGTCCCCAGCCCATCCCTGGCCTCCTGCAGGGGAGGCCTCCATACAGCCCCAGCATACAGAGCAGCCCCTCGGAATAAAAGAGCAGCTGGAAGAGGTTTTAAACCAGCTTCAAGGACTAAAAGAAAGTGACCTGAACTGCCTTAAAAAGAGAGGGGTTCTGTCTAAGTCCAGATCCCACATGAAGCCCTCCGATTTCATTTAGGAAGGACTGGGACTCGTCTCTGTTGCACCAGGGTCTGCCCCACACCTGACGCTTCCGAATGCGGGCCTCGCAGTCGTAGGAGGAAGTAGCTGCGCATCCAACTGGAAGCCAGTGTGGGCTGTAGCCGAGCAGATTAATTCTCCGGAATCTGCGAGTAGCTAGCATGCTGTCGGTGCCGTGATTCATGACCACGCCTTGTCGCTCCGCGTCGGACCCTGCAAGGACCCTTGGCCCCCCCCATGCCAGCTGGAGACCCCACACCAGCGCGGAGCCTCAGCCTGGGGCAGGGAAGCACCGCAAGCACCTGGCCCCAGCCTGCAGGTGTGGGGAGCATTCCCGCAGGCCTGGTTGCCGCTGCCCACGCCTGGTGCTTCTGTCCACGCCGGCTGGAGAGTGGCTGTGCCACGCGCGGTATGGAAGAAATCCGTTTCCCCCCGCTCCCTCTCTGCGTAGCGTTTAATCTTCCTAAGGCAAGCTTGTGTCCTGAGGAAACCAATTTCTGTGCACTATTAGCCCCATAACTCACATGTGGGCCCCCAGGGCCCAGCCTACCTGGGAAGGCGAGGCAGCAGATCCTCAGGCCGTGGCCACCACGGGGGGCACCACATGCCGTGGCCTCCAGACCCGACCACTCAGCTTCCTCTCTTCTCCATCTTCCCATCGGGTAGTGGGGCAAACCTCTTTGTTTCAGACTATCTCAGATTCGTGGGTTCCCTTTATTTCTATTTATTGTTTTTGATCTGTTGTTGAAATTTCTTCTCTTATTTGAATTTTAGTGAACATACAGTGCAATTTTGGTTTCTGGAGTAGAATTCAGTGACTCATCACTTACACAAAACACCCAGTGCTCATCACAAGAGCCTTCCTTAATCCCCATCACCCATGTAGACCATTCCCCACCCTCCCCCTATCAACCCTCAGTGTGTTCTCTGTAAGAGTCTTTTAGGGTTCAGTTCCCTCTCTCCTCTTTCCCCCCCTTTTCCTATGTTCTTTTGTTTTTGACAAACATTGTTAAAATGTCTATGCTACCCAAAGCAATCTACACATTTAATGTAACCCCTATCAAAATACCACCACCATTTTTCACAGAACTAGAAAAATCCTAAAATGTTTACAGAACCACAACAGACCCCAAAGACCCAAAGCAACCTTGAAAAAGAAAACCAGGGGCGCCTGGGTGGCTCAGTCGGTTAACCATCTGCCTTTGGCTCAGGTCCCGGGATCGAGTCCCTCATCGGGCTCCCTGCTCAGCGGGGAGCCTGCTTCTCCCTCTGCCTGCCCCTCCCCCTGCTTGTGCTCACCGTCTCTCTCTCTGACAAATAAATAAAATATTTTTAAAAAGAAAAGAAAAGAAAAAGATGATTCCGGACTTCCAGCTCCATTACAAAGCTGTGGTCATCAAGCCAGTCTGGTACCGGCACAAAAACAGACACATAGATCCGTGGGACAGAACAGAGAATCATGGGCTCCCTTTAAAACAAATTGTATTTATTGTGGCCTCGTCCACACCCGAAGAGGAGCATGTCCCGAAATTGACCCCTGTCTTTTCCTTGAGTGAGTTTCTCAGCAGACCCCAGCTGTTGAGCTCCCTGTCGACCGTCTAGCCGTCAAGAGGGGGGTTTCTTCTCCTTCCTATGAAGGCCCTGATTTAACACTTGGGGAAACTCATGGTGTTTTCCAGTAGGTTGGAATTCCATATCTGGAAGGACCACCGGCTTAGTTCCCATAAGGCCGCCTCATTCACTGCGAGCCCGCGACGTGCTGAGCGCTGTCCCCCCAGCCTCAAGAGATGCAAGTGCTCCCATCCTGCCTGCTCGAGGCTGAGAGTGGGGAGTGAGGGCACGGGGGTGCCCCTCCGCCCTGGGGGCATGGTGCCAGATCATCTGTCCTTCCTGCTGATTCCCCTTGATTTGTGCAGATACGTTTGGTTGGGGTGTGTTTCCTCCCAGGACCTCCCCTGCCCACCTCTCTCCCTCTCTGCCTGTCTCAACCTGCTGTGCTCGGAAAACATCACTGGGTGCTCAGGAGCCCACCGGTTAAGCCCCAGAACCCTAGGACTTGAAAAATTACAACCACCTTAGAAATTTCCAAGTTCACTGTCCCGGTTCTGTGCCCGAGGGGAGCAATGTGCTCACTTAGGTTGTGCAGACAGAGAAGGGCCAGTCAGGGTCTCTCGCCCCTCTGCCTGGTGCAGGCTGGCTGCCGACAGTCGCGGCCACCTGCTCTGTGTGACCAGAGACAGGCTGTTCCATGGGGATAAGCCTCGGTCTCCTCTACAGCTCCCATTCCACTGTGTTCTGGTAACGAGCCGAGATGATGCTCGGAACATGGCACCTAGTTTGGCACGTGGGTCCCACCCCGCCCCCACCTCGGGGGCGACCACCTGCTCCCAGTTCCCACATTTTGCATTTTCATGTTGGCAGACGCGTCTCAGCTCCCTAAACTGTAAGAAGCTTGTGGGCATGGGACCCAGCGCCATTCTCTGTCTACTAGAAATAGAAAAACAAGAACACGTGTTGAATTAATGATAAGGTTAAAGTTTCAAACCCAAATAGTATTATTTCTGTGAAGCCCGTATCACCTGCAATGAGATGCTGTCTGTGGGGAGGGGTCTCTCAGTGAAACTCTGCAGTGAACACACACAAGGGCATCTCTACCTTTTCTTAACATTTAGAACCCTCACTGGGAGCTCCACCTTTAGAAGCCAATATAAGATGGAAAAGATTTATTAGTCTCATTTCTCATTACTTGAAATAAAAAAATTCTACACGATTGAAATTAAAGCTTATATGCTTCCCATTTCTAAAACATTCTTTTAAATGCGCCCCCCCCACACACACACACAAATCATCAAGTTGTCATCTCTAATAGCAACGACTGTTTTAAGTATGTGGATGGGCATCTGACAGCATGTCTCAGCCCTGTGTTCCTGAATGAATGCTCGCAAAAACCGCGCTCCTTGTTTTTCTAGACTAACACGGACATGGCAGGTGCCCGCCAGGCCTGCTGAGGGATGAGCGTGATCATTTTGAACTGGTCTCTCAGCCTGAAGGGAGCCCGACGCAGGCGAGGGACAGCTGAGCGCGGGTCATCTTGCGTCTGAGCCCAGCCCGATCTGTGTGTGTTGTTTGTTGCAGGCGCTAAGGAGATCGATATCGCCGCGACCCTGGAGCACTTGAGGGACCAGAGACCGGGCATGGTCCAGACAAAGGTACTGTCGGCCAGTCCTCGGGAATGGTGGGGGCGACAGGGGTGTCTTTCTGCAGGTGTTTCCCAGCAAGGAGAGAGGAGAAGGGAACCAAGTGTCTCCCACGCAGGTCCAAGGTGGGAGTGGAAGGCCCCTCCCGGGAGGGCAGCCCATGGTTCCAGCAACCACCCGCATTTGAGCAAAAACAGATGCAGTTGGATCTCCAGTCTTTGGAGCCCTCTCCCCACCAGATTTGGGGAAGGGGGAGAGCATTACATTTTTACAAAAAGAGCGCCATGATAGGGACACCTGGGTGGCTCAGTCGGTTAAGCGTCTGACTCCTGGTTTCGGCCAGGTCATGATCTCAGGGTCATGGTATTGAGCCACATTGGTCTCCACACTCACTTGGGAATTTAAAAAAAAAAGAGGTCAGTGACAAACCCCAGCACCCTTGCAGGGGAATGGTCTAGATCCACTAACATTCTGCCAGACCCCCCCCCCTCTTTCTGGCCCACAGAACCACAACTCTGTTGTGTGGTCATCGGACGTCCCGGGGTGTACTCAGGTCCTCAAACACCTCAAAATAGCTTATTTGCGTGCTTACTGAGAAGGCCACGTTTGCAACAAGAGTAAATACAAGATGGCTGGTTGGCTTTGGGTTAACCAGAGCTAGAAATGGGCTTAACATGATGTTCCTTTAGCACTCGGAAGTATCTGTGTCCAACGACCACAAAAGCTCCCGCGCATCTGTTCCATAAAGGTAATGAAGTCATAAAATACAGAATCTTCCCTTTCTCAAGGTAGTCCTGCCACCTCAGTGCTATTAGCACCTACACAAAAGGCCAAAATCCCTAAAAGACACCCTTGCAGAATTCCTTCCTTATGCCTAAGAGGACTGTAGGTTGTAAAAAGCACTCCCATGAAGTGGGGCTGACCCAAGGGCCCGAGGACCGTGCTTTGTGCCTGGTGGTGATGGTTCTGGGGCCCCAGAGAGCTTACCCTGCCTCCCGGGGTCTCACTGCTCCCCCTCGAAAGTGCCAGTAGCCCCCAGCCCCCTTTCTGTCTGAATGTTACCATGAGAAGACACACGTCACACAGGGTCTGAGCTGGATGAGAGGAGAGAGCTACATCCCAAGCTCTCTGTTGAGAATGAAGCCACACGCCTCAGGAGGCTAAGCTGAGCACACTTTGAACCGGAAGATCATTTCCTGAAATACCTTAACAGTCACCTGGCTGGTTCTTGATGGCCAAAGTCAACCCCAAGCACCGAGGCAAATTTAACTTCAGTCTCTTACAGAACCACAATCTATTCTAAGCAGAGTCACAAGAAGCCTTCTAAAGAGTCAAGAACTGCTCCGGCCGAGCCCTCCCCCCCGGCAGCTGCGCCTGCCCCAGCCCCGGACCTCCACCCAGGCTCCGGCACCTGGGGGTACAAGCAGCCTGCCCTGTGCACGCTCAGCCCCGAAGAGCTGTCACCAGCACCGTGCGCTCACCCCATCCCCCTGTAGCACGCATGCGGGTCACGAGAATTCGCATTTGATTAGCGTGAAGGAAGTTTATCAATCATGGCACACTTTGTTTTCCTAGGATTTTTTTTAATCTGAAGTTTTGAAATTATTTCAGACCTGCAAAACACGTGCAGAAATAATACAGATCATTCCCACGTGCCCTCACTAGGTTCCTACTGCTAGCACCTTACGTAACCACAGGTGACCGCAGCCAGGAACCGGCATCAGTATAAGCCATTTACTCGGGGGCAGACCTTGTCCTAGCTCATCCATGTCCGCAGTGACCTTTCCCTGGAGCAAGACCACCCCTGAGCACTCAGTCGTCATATCTCCCACATCTCGACTAATGGAACAGCTCAGTGGCCTTGAGAGCTCTTCAAAAGAGAACTGGCAGGTGTGGCTTGGTTTTCATAGACTGTCTCTTGCTTGGGTTTGTCTGAGGTTCCTGTGATGGGTTCTGGTTGTGCATCTTGGACAGGAACGTCCCAGAAGGAGGCACGTGACCCTGGTTGATCTCCTTTCTAGGGAGGTGAGCTTCGGTCCCTCGGCTCAGGGGGTGTCCCTCAGGTGATTCTTCTTGGTAACGAGCAGTGTCTTGGGGGAGAGATTTGGTACTGTTCACGTCTCTGTTGTTGTGCTTTATCATGATGTCAGCAGGTGACAGATAACCCGCAGGTTTTGTGCCCAAGGAAGGTCCATCCTACTAGCCTGACCATGCCACTTGGTGGTAGCCTTGTGAGGGCCAGCACTGCAGGGTCAGTGCACTGTCCCTGGATGGTCTGGCCCCACGGGGCCACCAGAAGCCATGGAGGAGGCTTGGAGGCCTGAGAACCAGGGCCTGGTGAGCAGTGTCACTTTATAACCAGGAACGAAAAGCGGATTCTGTCTCTGCCTAAATCTTGATGCTGCTTTGGGCCGTCTCCTACTGCACAGATAACCTGCAGGAAATCGTCAAGACTCACTTCTTCGCTCCCTGAACCTGGGTACCTCCCAGGCAGGCTTCCTCCACCCCAGACACCCCAGACGGTACAAGGATGCCCAAAACACAGACTCCATGATGGATCTGGGCGAAACCGTGGGGACGGTGCATAACACAGTGCAAAAACCATTCGGGCCTCGTGGCACAAGGTCCTGAGGCCCAGGGAGCGGCCCACAGGCCCTGCCAGAAAGGGAGATGAAGCATCCAGAGAGCAGAGAATTTGCCTCATGTAGCTTCCCTGCCGGAACTGACCCTCTTCCTTCAGGTGGGGGTTCAAAAGCTGTCTGGAAGTGTGTATGTAAATGCAATTCCTAGAATTTCAAGGTATAAAGAAATAAGCACATCAAAGCCACCAGTCTGTCTTAATTTGATGGCTTTGCCCAACATTACTCCATGAAATGGAACTTCCCCTGAAGTTCAGTTTAACAAAAGGAAAATTTCTGTGGGAAAAAATAGTGCCATACAATCTGAATACTCTTCCACAGAAGCCAAGAGAAGGTCGCCTGTGGGCTGTTCAAACCCATGTAGTCAGATTGTGCCATATGAGCTGAAGACACAAAACAGACCGGGGACGGAGCCCCCCGACCCCCAGCGCACAGCCTGACCGCACAACTGCATCTTTACGTTCAAAAAAGCCCCCGATAGCTGATTTTCCACCTGGAAACAAACCCTCGGTCAAACGAAGCACAGACACCTGCCGTGCGTCTGCCTGAGGAGAGGAAGGGAAGCCACGGCCCTGGCCAGGGAGCTGGCGCCGGCCGCGGGGACGAGCCTGAGAAGCAAGCGGCAGCACAGGGTTACGGCCCGGGAGACCCGAGCAGAAGGAGATGTCACCCAACCCCCATCACCTCACGTGTGTCAGTAGCGCAACAGAATGCTCGTTCCTAGGAAGGGAGATGAAATCGCAGGAGGTAGGGAAAACACACGTCACAAGGTGAGCGATGTCTCGTCCTCTACGCATGTCGTGGAGCAGGCTCTCCCCCTCCGTCCCCGTCATCTCGTTAAGGTGCCTCCTTAACGCTCTCCGTAACGACACTTTCTCTTGGACGCTCACTTCAAAAGCCAACTGACCCGTGTGTCCCCAGGAAGTAGTGATGTTGGTTGGCCCCGGGCGGGTGCGCACGGTGTTTACATGTGGTACCGCACCTCCTGCCCCTCCCCTGCTCGTCTCTGGGTTTGGGTTTCACCCTACCCTTGTTCTGCTCCGCAAGCCCGGCTCCCTACCTTGCTCGGGGTCTGGCGCGACAAGGACTGATTGAATTAAGTGTAATCCAGTTCACAGCCCCGGGCCTCCCGACCCACGTCCTGCTCCATCAGAAGCCTCTCAGTACCTTGAGATTGTTCCCCTCAGTCTCTGTGTCTCTATCTCCCCGT